GTAACACCCCAAATTTTACCTGGTAGTTATAACGAAAATCAGAGTATTTAAAAGCTTCCAACACATTTGGGATATCACATTTCAACATGTTACAACACATAAACAGATACATAACACTTTAATTACGGAGGATCATATAACAACTTGCACCAGCTTTTAAAACAAAACCACTTCTAGTATTCATAACGCAGCAGAATCATAATAACAACTTCAAGTAGCATCATATGTTTCGTTTAACTAAAACAACTTGAAAGGCAACATATTATTTCATATAATTCAACTTAGGATTCAATAACTAAAACAATTTCAACAAGTAAACAACTATTCGATCATTTCCTCCCGATTGCTACGTATCAGAGTGACCAACCGAATTTGAACTAATAAGGCTAAGCAAAACTTCATTCTTGATTACTTGCACGTTATCAACAGAGGGAAACATTCAAACAGTAAGGGGTGAGATTCTCAAATCATATAAGTGAGCGCATGATAAATCATATATTAGAATTCAGGAATATAAAATCACCACTTCACAACATTCAAACATCTTTAATTTCAACAAAACATCAACACAACATAACAACTAATTCATAACCTTTAAATGGTACCTGCCACAATAAGTCAACAACATAAAGCAACAACAAATTTATCTTCACCACAACTCAAGATGCAACACCGAATGCAACTCAAATACAATGCACATGCATGTGGTACCATTGGAGCAGAACTCCCAACTTAAAAACATTTTCCAGTAATCTCGAGGCATAAGGCATAAGCCTTCAACTTAATATTTTTCCAATTTAGGCCAACGTGGTGCCAATCCAGGCCAACTTAATAATGTAGATGTATGTGACTCAATGAATGCAACAATCACATACAACAACAATCACTATCACAAAGGCATAAGCCTATATCAACACTTTATCAATAATTAGAGGTATTCATCATCGCTTCAACACTGACCATAGGCCTACAACTTAATCAACTTATCAATCACAACATATAAACAACAACATATTCACAACAATAACCAACAACACAATTCCATAAACCGGAACCATTCAACTTATTTCGACTTCACCTGCAAATCAACTTTATTCTACATACTTATAACCAAAACAAACCAACTAAAAATACCTATATGTATATACAACTTATTCCGACAATTTCAACTAATTTCGGTTGACTACTTTTACCGCTCAAATCTACAAATTCGACTAATCGGTATTGTTTTATATACTGTTATTACTACTATTTATTTATACTGCTACTAATCTTTCTCTGCCAAATGAGTGTCACTTGCTTCCTGTAATTCACTTACAACATATACTACTTGGCAATATATATTCTCTTCTGCTATTTAGTTAATCCTCCAAAACAGTTACTGCAACTTTACTAATTATTTCTAACTCTGTCTTATTACTACAGACTGTTAAAATTATATTGTAACTACTAGATTAAGATTACTGACATAAGGCTACTTACATTAATAAACTCTATACTAATAGCATAGTGCCACAGAAAACAGAACAAGTGAAACAAGTGCCCCTGCCTATCACTCAGTGCCTATGACACTTTCCTTCCACCATCACCCTAGTTTCGAACGGCACATCCTCTTTCTTCTCAAGGTTGCCGAACGAAAACCTCCCATATACAACAAGTGCTGAGCAACACTTCCATCCCCAGGCCAATTTTTACTTCTTCTTATTATCTTCGATACTGTTTCATTAAATTTCCTGCTATACTGTCTCGATACCAAATCCATTCCAGAGATAAGTTATAACACAACAATCCTCTTATTCTTAGACAATTCTATAATCAAATTAATTATTAATAATGTTATCAAGACAACACAACCAACACAAATCAACAATAATAATCCCACATACAAAATATCATATACCCCATTATAGGATAAGAAAATCCACCCTTACCTTGGATTGACGGTTCTCTATAATTTCAGGTCGAATCCTAATTGCCATCCGTTCGTGCCATAGCTCCAAACCTTTACTCTTCTTCTTTTCTCCATGTACTGCATCCCTTTTCTTTTCTCTTTCTCTAAAACCCTTATTCTTCCTCACAACCACTTATTATTCTCTCTTCTACTTTACAAAAATCTGATTCTTTCTTATTCAACTTTAACATATAATTTCTATTATTAATTCTATTGGGTCTAATATTCACACCCCACCTTTTACTACCAACAACACTTTAAATTAAGCCCATAAGAAATAATAATAGCATTATTATGATACTATCTCCATAACTTAATCAACTCAATAATAATTCAACATAATAATATTGTTTCTAATATTATTTTTCCGATTAAACCGACTATCAAGTTACTGCTCAACTCAACATAATTATCCAATTATGCTTCTTAGAATAATACTGATAATTCTCAACTTCGACAATATCCAATAATTAAATCTTTAATTAATTTAATTAAATAATTAATTAAATTCGAGGCGTTACACTCATGTTCACGGTACTCCACGGGATCCACTCTTGTTGTTCTAATTAAATGGTGTGTCTATCTAAACTTACAAACTAAGGAAATGCATGAATGCAAAAGAAAAAACAGGGAAAACAAAGGTTTTAAATAGTTTTACTCTCTTAGGCCCTGCAATCTAATGCCTATGTATCCTTTTCAAGGAATCAGAGCACCGTAGTTCAGCTAAAAAAATTTGTTTATTTGTGTTTTTTAATGAATGATGCTAATTTTGCATTATACTTTCGTTCGACCTTTGGAGACTCACGCAATTGTTGTAGAAAGGAATTAACATGTTCTTACCTGAAAAAAATTTTAAAAGGAAAAGCCCGGAGGCAGCCCAGAGGCAGCCCAGAGGCAAAAGGTTTGAATTGGTTTAGTCTTTTTTACCTTGACAAAGGATTTGGTGATTTGGACCATATTAAAGACTATGATTGAAAGGAATCACAAGATCGAGAATGCACCCCATCATACTCCTCCTAATACTTAAGACTCGTGACACATGGTTCACCTCTTTATGATTAAGTGTTTTGACACTTGATTAAGAAAAATAAGTTTTAGTTTTAAGGATGCAAAAGGGGAATAAAAAAATCTAAAGGAATCTAAATTTCTAATGTTGTCATGCAATGGTGGTCCTAAAGTTAGGATTGAAAGGAAATTTTATCTAATGTTAACATAAAGATGAACCTTAAGGATAAGGATCAAAATGGGACTACCTAATGTTGTCATGCTTAGAATAGAAGTCCTAACTTTGATTAAAAAGTGAACCAAAATGAACCTAAGGGAGCATACAAAGTCAAAATAAGAACCTAAACAACAAAACAAACATGGCTTAAGAGTCCACACAACATCTAAGTGTAAAGGTCTATCACTAACAAATAAGCAACGACTAAACAAGCCTAAACTCTAATGCATATTTCAAGTCATCATCAATTAGCATGAATGTGTCAAACATAAACACTAAGGTCACCTAAGGGTCATGCTCAAATAGTTATACCCTAAGTCATTACAAACCATGTCGAAAGCAATCAACAATCACACAAGCACTCAAGGCTTAAGGTGTCAAAGCAACATAAAAAATTACTTCTTAGCTACACAGAAAACATAGCTTATGATGGTAGGACTTCCAGTCATGCATCTCTATCCTACTTCTTATGGAAAAATTAATTGAAAATGATGTAAAAATGAGAGAGTAAAGAGAGCTCAAGTGATACCTAACGAAGAAGGTTTGTTGCCTCTTCGAAGCCACGCAAACAATAAGAAAACTCTACACAAAGCTTCCTTGATAAAGGATCAATCACAAAGCTTGCCAATCATATGACCACTCAATGAAACATAAAGCCTATTTTTTATCAAGTTTATGTGAGAAAAATCCCCAAACTGTTGCACAAGTGCATACGGAAAAGAAACATTGCCTACTTCGAGGTAGGACTTTATGTCAGAATTTGTCTACTTCAAGGTATGACTTTATATCAAACACTGACTACTTCAAGGTAAGACTTCAAGTCAGAAATTGCCTACTTAAAGGTAGGACTTTAAATCAAACATTTCCAACTTCAAGGTAGGACATAAAGTCAGAAATTGCCTACTTCAAGGTAGGTTTTTAAATCAAACATTGTCTAATTCAAGGTAGGACTTCAGATGCAACTACGCTATATGCTTCTAGCAATCAATAAAATCTTAGCATGACGCGCAAAAGAGAGATAACGGAGATTCAGGCGGTACCTAATGGCGAAAGTTTGTTGCCTCTTCGAAGCCAAGCAAGCGATGAGAAAACTCTACCAAAAACTTTCTCAAATTTCCTTGATGAAGATTAAGATCTTAATTTACTTTGACACTTTTTGAAACTCGTCACCCAAGTCTCTCTTTATTTACAAAAATCACATATAATAGCAATAACCTCATATCACAAAATAATGGCGAAGAGATAGCGACAAATGACTACCAAATGATTACCAAATGATTATCGAACAATAATAACAAAATTTCGTTCTAAAGAATTTTTAAGCAAATCCTAAAGAAAGTCATTACTATTTTCCATATTCCTATATCACTATTTTTTATTGATTTTTCTACCAAAATTATCAAAATTAATTGAAAGAGAAAATCAATAGGAAAAAAAATGAAGTCCTACGCAAAGAGAGTGTTAAACAGGATGCAAGGGGTGTGGTTCAGTAACAATGGCTCCCAGGACCAACAGTGATGTCCACACCTTGAGGTCCAAGTCCTCATATTATTCAAATTTATCACATTATTATCTTATTATTATCAAAACCACAACAAAAAAAAATTAACAACAAATAAGAGGATGATGAAAAAAACCCAAACGCATCGTTTTGGAATATTAGGGTTCACCATAAACTCAATGTTGTTCTTGTTGCGTATGCATTGATGCTGTTGCTCTAAATAGCTAATTCGTGGATTTGTCCTTGTTGCAGGTGCAATCGAGAATGAACGTTGATTTGAGATGAAGATGATGTTGCTGATTGTTGAAGGTTGAAGGAGCTTCTTAATGTTATTGTTGATCTTCACATGGTGGGGATTGAAATGGAGAAGTATTGACGATGATGGTGAACGCAGAAATATGGCTGAAGATTGGGGAAAAAATCTGATGTAAGGTTGTTATCATGAACTTGTGATTCAGAGAGAAAGATGAAGGTTGTTGTTGATGGAGAAATGAAGAATGGATGATGAAAACTAGTGAAGTCCAGAGAGAACTTCTTGAGAGATTTTTCATATTGTTCTTGGTGAGTTTTCTGTGTATTATTTTCTTTTTTGAGAATGAAGCACCGGATTCTGTTATAGATAGCTGAAAGTTTGTTACGAATTCTGTTAGAAAGTTGGTTGAGAATGATTAGTTGTCATGGTTAGTTAAAAATAGTGGAGTTAGAAGTAAGATCCCTCTGTTATAGTTTCAGAAGTTAGTTATCCAGGTTTCAAGATTCAATTGAATTCAACTCGGTTTGTTGACTTAATGAGTCAAGTTGGTTATACTGAGCTAAATCCTTTTGAAGGTAGCTTCATTTAAGTTTATCTGTTTCAGATTTTTGGATTTATTAGTGTTTGTATTTTCTGTTATGCAAGGGATAAAACTTGTCAGCTGTGAAGCTTTTTTCTGAGTTATCATTTTCTCGAACCTGGTTTATGCATAGATACCATGTATGTGTAGCTATAGTTTTGTTCATGGTTGTGCAAGGTCCGATGAGTTAATATGCACATGTTTTTGGCAGGTTGGGTGTAGATTTGAGAAGCTTTGCAAAAGGATGATGAAGATGAAGCAAACTTGGAGATTATAATGTGGTGAAGACGATATAAGATCCAACAACAAGCTTGTTTTTTCATAGATCCAAGGCTAATGGTCAATACCTGTATAGCTTGAAATTTTCAACTTTGTAGTTTACTTTATTAATGGTTGTGAGATAATGTGGATTTTGCAATGGAACCCTAATGAATTAGGATATATTGAATGATGAATATGATATGTACTTGAAATGATTTCGACACTTCTTATAGTGACTTCTTGGACATAATGGATGAATATGTACTTGAAATGATTTCGACACTTGTAGTGAAATCTTCTTGGACATAATGGATGAATATGTAATTTTGAAATGGCCGTGACTTTGAAGATTCCAATCCAAGTAGCTCTTTTTTCAAAATGAACTTTACTTCTTACACTTATTTTACTATAAGGCCCCTTTGATCTTGAAAGAACCACGGACATTGTCCACTTATTGCATTTTGAACAATGAATCTCCTTTGACTTTATGTTCCAATCCGAATCATCTTTCACTTGAAGCAATAACAATCTCTTGATTAATGCCATGTGCTTTTGAATGAAACATGAATATTTATTCCAAATTGCACATTGGACACCCAACCTTCTTTCTTACCCTTTGAGCATGATCACCACGCTTTGATTCAAGTAATTGGATTATCTTTGTGATTCCTTTTGATCCATGAAAACTTGCACTCCAAACAAACTTGTATGCCACACTTGAATCAAATGAACCTTAATTGCTAAACTTGAATTCAACCTCTCGAGTGAAGTTAAAAAACGTAACTTGTACCACAAGCAATGGTTCTCAATGTCTTGAATCTCAAACCACAATTGGTTGGAGAAAGTATCCTTGTAGGATGAGACCAATTGTGTTCATGTCTCCTATATTGACAAACATCTTGTAATTCAAACAACTAGAAGCAGACTCAAATATTAAGACCATTCCATGAAAGCCTAACCATGATGTGCATTAGGTGACGTTCTTGGTTAAAGCTTTATTCAAAATGATGAACGCACGCATAAGAGAGTGCATCGTGACCCATGCACTATAGAAGAATCTTCATCTCTCTATTTCAACCCTCGATAAAAAATCCAGTTGAATGACTCATAGTGCAAGTAATTGATGGGAAATCTTAAACGAACTCCAATCCAAATGATGAATAAAAGGTCTCATGATGATAAAGGGACTAAACCCTAATTTCATAATTCAACGCTAGAAGCATAATCAGAAGAAACAGACTTCATTTAATATATATATATATATATATATATATATATATATATATATATATATATATATATATATATATATATATATATATATATATATATATATATATATATATATATATATATATATATATATATATATATATATATATATATATATATATATATATATATATTAAATGAAGTCTGTTTCTTCTGATTATGCTTCTAGCGTTGAATTATGAAATTAGGGTTTAGTCCCTTTATCATCATGAGACCTTTTATTGTAAAACCCTAAGATGCACAACCACTGAACTTTTTAATCTATGGTACTTTATTCAACGAGTGCATGTTATGCAAAATGACCTAATGAAGATATGAAGATGAATGCAAAGCCTAAGTAAGATGAAATTATAATCAGGAGGTCAAATTTTGGGGTGCAACACACTACTGCGGAAAAGGCATACAATAATGGTTGAGAAAGATATATAATCACGCAGAATCAAGCGTTGTTATGTAGCATATTGTTGTATATGTGTTACTTACAATTATGTTCCAGTGACCATTGTAGTAAAATATGTAACGCGTTATCTATCATAATGGTTGACGTAAACAACTGTTGTCATAAATATAGTGTCATAGATTCGATATCCAGCTACAACTAAAATTAAAACGCATAAAAATAATATTTCACCACGGTTATAAGTTCCAACTGATGTTGTATATGTAAGAGTTTATTAGAAAATATGAGATTTCTTGTTTTTCCATGCCCCTCATTAACCATATACAACCATTTAAATAGGTTTTTAAGATGATAATCAGAAAATTTTAATTATTCTTGAAAAACAAATTAAACGATTCAATATTTTTCGAATTTTATGCATCTTGTAAATCATGATTTCCTCTTTAGCCTATAAGATTTGATTCAATCCCAAATTCTTCAAAGTAATGTTGATGAGTGGATGTCAGTCTGAGTCTGTTGTACCCCAAAATTTGCCCTCGCATTTTTCCCCAAGAAATCTCAGCTTCAAACATTTCCTGACTTTTCAAATTGGCTCAAGAATCGGACAAACGGACTTTTCTTGACAGTCAAGCAGAATTAGGGTTTTTACTGATTTTCAGAGCTCTGAATTGTTTCATACAGTGGGCTTAGGGTTTGGTTGATTTTTGGTTCAATTTTGATCAAGCAAGCGTGATTTGGCATTTAATCGGGAATTAGGGTTTTATGGGCATATTCTCAGAAGAATTTAAGTTCCACGGCACTTTGCGGTTTATTTCAAGATTCGGTTTAAAATTCGCGTTATCTTGGTTTAATCAGTAAAAGAGACAGTGGTTTGAATTCAGTACGTTTTGATTGGGCCAGTCATATACAGGATGCAGTATTGAATTCACAGTGTTTATGTGTTTGATCAGTTTACTTGGATTGATTGCTGCCTTGCTTTGGATGTTGGATAAGACAGGTTTATTGGATCAATGTTGTTTTATTTTAGTTATTTATTATTCTGAAATTAAATGATTGAATTTATTTTTCAATTGTTTTAATTCTAAGAATTTTAAATAAATAAATAAGCAATAAAGAAAGTTAGAACCAATTGGATAATTTGGATTTTTTATTGATATTTGAATTATTTACAAATTGTTGTTACAGACAATAATTTACATTTAATTTAAATATTACATAGAATGAAAAACTATCCTATTTTCTAAATATTCTTCGTTCTTCACTCCGCTCCGGTATTCCTTTTTTTCATCTGCAAAAAGAAACAAGAAAAGTCAGAAAGCATTAAATTGGAAAGGACAGATAAAAAGTTGCTCATCATTAGGGGCCACTGACTGGGATCAGTTGCCCTCTCTGCAAATCACGGGATTTCTCCCGGTTCACAGAGAGGGAAGATTTTCATTTCATGAAATGCAAATGCATAAGTTATAAAATTCAAGCTACATAAGAATCTCAATTTCCAATTCCAAACCATATAGTTCAAAATCCAAAATCCAAACTAAACTAAAAAGTTCAATCCAAACTTTCCACTCAAAGAAAATCAAGAAAGTACTCAAGGCTGTCATAAAAGATTTTGGCCAAGATATCAAGGAAGAGAAAAAGCACGTAAACTGTCAAAAGAGATAAAGATGCAAAATGTAAGATGCAAGCAATCTAGAATCATCACTTCCCATAGTTAGCCCCTTCAGAAAAGTACAACTTAAATTATATAAAAATTCTTTGCTGTACTGTAAAGAGAGAGTAAAGAGAGATAAAGCAAACTCAGTTCAGGTTAGGCATAGACATCAGCACAGCAGGCAGCAGTCCAGCATAGCAGTTCAGAGGAAAAAGATTATACAAAATCAAAAGCCAAACCAATTCAGCAGAGGGCAGAAAATATACATAAGCCAGTTCAGAAGTGAAGAGAGAAGGAAGAAAAATCTACAAGACAGTTCAGTAGCAGCAGGGCAGAAGGCAGCTAGCCAGTACAAAGCAAACATAGGCACAGTTCAGAAGAGATAGAAGAAAACAAAATACACAAAGGCCAACTCAGTTTAGCAGTACAACACATACAGAAGCCAACTCTGCATAATATACAAAGGGCCAAGCCAAGCTAACATTACTGAGAACCTGTCAAGGCCTCAACCCCCAAACACCATTCTCAAACACAAACATACTGAGCTTATCAAAACTGAAGCAAACCATAACCATCATCAAAACCTAGCCAAAGAAAACTGTGTTGAACCTTGCATCACCCAAACATACAAACACCATAACCTTGCAAAACCAGTTAAAATCTATCAAACCTGAACCTTTGTTTCAAACTGAACCAAACACCCAATCTCAAGCATAATCAAAGCACACAAAGGTTCCAGGCCCTCAGTATAACATCATTGGGCAAAAGCTTTAGGTATCTCAGAAGGCAATATCAAGGTAGCAATGTTCTAAACACTCAAGGCAGCAATGTTCCAAAATCATTCAGAAGCAAGATTCAAGGTGAACTCAGAAGCTTTTCATCATTAGGCAATACATAGGCAACAATACACAGGGCAACACGAGAGAGAGAGAAGCAACTCAGGCAACATAGGCCCTCAGATCTCAGAGATCATCACTGGGCATCTCAAGCAAATACTCAAAGCACACATAGGCAAATCGTCCAAGAAAGCAACCAACAGTTCAAAGGGACATAAAGTAGAAGAGATAAAGAAGTGAGGAATTAGGGTTTCTCAGTACGTATCATCATCAAAACCTAACATAAGCAAAGAACGAAGTTACCAGGAAGGCGTAAAAAGCGAAGCAAGCTCAAAGTCCATCACCGCCGTTCCGGCCTCCTGAAGCATCACCTCTTCTTCTCTCCTCCATCTCTCAAAATCAGGTAGCAATCTTCTTCCCCTTCACCTCATAAAACGAAAAAAATATAGAACTCAGTTTAAAACAAATCCGAACCACGCGAATCCAGAAAAGAAGAGATAAAGACATAAAACGATTAGAACCAACCTTGTTTCAAAGGATGCGGAATTCTTGCCTTGGAGGGAAGAGAGTGTGAGGATGATGTTGGTGGCCGGAACCAAGTGCTCAGGAAGCCTAAACGGAGAAGACGAATACCACGAACGCGCCGCCGCTGATTAACCCTAGCCCTTGTTCTGAACTGCCAAACGCCTAACCCTAATTTCATTTCAAACTTGACAAAGGGCCTGACCCGTTTCCTGATTACCCCAAAGCCCAACATTAACCTCTTTTCATTTTCATCAACAATATTCATTAAACCTATTCTTCTTTTATATATTAATACTAACCCTTTAATATTTTTATTTGCTTTACAAAAAAAA